GGGTTACTGGAACAACCAGTGCGACTGGAAGTTCTGTGGGAGTGGTTTGTTGATGGCAGTTCAGAGCCACAGCACGAGGTCCCGGGTGCTTGCAAGCTAAGATGTTCACGACAAGTGACGATGAGTGATTTTACCCCTAGACTTACACCTTGTAGCAATTAGCTGAGTGGCGTTTGAGAACAAAGTGATAAGGAGAATATATGGACCTAAGAGAAAGGAAGTGACAGGGGGCCGGAGGAAATAACTAGAGGAGGATGAGAGAGACGGAAATTGTTACGCCCATGAGGGATATGAGAAATGCGTGCAAAATGTTAGCGCGAAAACTTCATCGTGGACGGAATGGAAAAGACCATTTTGGGATACCGAGGTGTGGATTGAGGGTAATATTAAAGGAAGTAGGGTGTGAGGCTGTGGACTATATTAATCCTCTTAGCATAGGCTCCAGTGGCGGGCTTCTGCAAATACGGTAATGAAACTTCAAATTAATTGACTGATGACTGATTAACTAGCGACACGGAGCAGTGTCCTTTTTAAGCTGATAATTAAGATAACCGCCAAATTTTATGGAACACGACACGTTCATTACTATGTTCACAAGAGGCCGCTACTGATTATCCCAAGTTAAATGAATGTGATCCAGAACCTCCAACCCTATTTCCCCAACATCCATATCTACAAAGACTCTTCACATTCAATTTTTCAAAAAATCCATCCAAGTTCTAAGCCTTGTGAAACATTTCATAATATTCTGTTTTATGCGATGGGGAGTATGCTCCACACAATACCCCCAAGCTGAAGTAACACACCTTTTCGGCTGTCCGTGGTTGCTTATTCAGTATATACGATGTTACCTTTCACGTCTGGATGCCTTCCACTCCATCCGCAACCTGAAGTACAAAACTTCGGGTTCTAAGAGGCCGATCAGATAACCTTCCATAATTATTTCAAGAAAGCCCTAAGTAACGCGAAGCTAATCAAATGACAGTCATAATCAATAAAACAGTTCTGGCAAGAATTTGAGTTAGGATTCTATCACGGAGTTATTAGCTTACAGATGCGATAGTAGCTCAGATTTCGAGACCCCAGTGGAGCGAAGCCGATACGTTATTCGAATTGGGTGCAGAAGCAGCGGAGAATAATTTAACCACAGAGGCTAGCGAATGGAAAATCTGCTAACGATTAATTAAACTGTGAAGGCGGGCGTTATACAAAACAGCATGGATCAGATGATATTGATTTATTGCCGTCGTTTTGAAAGTGATAGACCCATTTCGTTGTAATGATTTATAACAGAAATTGGATGCTAACCAACTGGATATTTTCTCATTTTTTTTTTTGAGTGTTATATTCTGAAACACGCAAAATCGACAAAACCATCTTTAACGTAACTATAATAGCCCTAAAAGAAGGTGAAGAGTACTAATTATGAAACGCCTTGTAAGTTTTTGGAATTGAGGTTCTCCCGAAGATAACCGTATTCAGGGTTGTAGCATCATGCAGTCTAGTAAATGTCTGCGAGCGTTTCAGAGGTCCTTGCAGCTAGGACCAACCCAGAAAACAGCCATCTTGCTTGTAAAGTAATGAAATTTTGCCCATCCTCCTATAACTAACTTCTTAGGCTTAAATACAGCAATATTTCTTTCAGAATCATGTTCTCAAACCCTTAATCTGCGTTCTACCCTTAGAGTGACAGGCCGCTTTAACATTCATACAAAACAAGTAGTCTACCTCCTGCAGATGTAAGATGAACTCCAATCTCGTATTTCGGAGGGCGTTTGATAAGGATACGTGTAAAACCCAGCAGACGGGGGTGGAAGTGTTCGGCACAGAAACAATCTCGGATCCTTTTAAAAGTCAGAAGAAGTAGAAGAGCCTCAGAATTGGAACTCACTGTGGAAATCACAGTGTAACACAATAAAGAACTGGGAGGAGCGACTTACAGGGGAACAAATGGGGTTGAATTGGCGCCGTAATTCCTAGCAGCGGATTGGGGATGGGAAGAGAAGGGTGTTAAAGGGAGAGAGGAACGGAGAATTCCATTGTGGTGGGACTCCTCCACTCTCAGGAGATGAGACCCAAGTCGATAAAACACTGACTAGAAGGAGCTTCCAAGCCATACTAAGAGGTAAGCGACTGTTTAACCCCAGGTCAATAAACTGTTTCATTTAGTGCCAACGAATTCCGGAAAGAACGGCAGTTAACCTTACCTTCCAACTGCGCAAGCTTTAGTAATACAAATCTTGTGTTGTTAATGCCACACTTATTCAGTGAGAATGAATATTCTGACAATAAAGTGCAATTCTCGTTGTGGATTAAAAGGCTTCAGGTCAAGAATTCTCAGTCTTTTAAGACCAGGGCTTCACTTTCACTTTTGCTTATCGAATCGTGGTCCGCAAGACAATTTATTAACAAACCGTGGAAATTTATTAAAATTGCTAAAAGTTTCACAAATTAGTCAACAAACTGATTTAACCAAACAAATATTTAGTAATTATGCAATTTTTAAATACGAAGTACAACTTCTGTTGTTAATATTTGCATGCATTTTTCAATGAGTAAGGCGCGTTATAATTATCGATTTGACGTCCTTCATCAAGCTGTGGTTGCTCTGGGCGAAGGGCGCTACCAAATACTGACGACACTAACAGAATGTGTTTCCTTATATCAGACAACAATTCTTCAGTGTTACAAATTTGATAAATATGGGTCTGAGAAATAGGTTTCAGAATATGAACACGCTCATGTTCAAACACATGGGCAGGAGAAATCGACAATTTTGAATACAACATCGACGCTGAAAATCGTGGAATGCTTTAGCCGAATATGTTTCATACTAAAATGGACAAGATGAAATCATAAAGAAGTAAAACTCGGCAAGTAACCTGACGCTAGCACCGACGTCGATTCCGATGATGATACTACGATAAATAAAAACGCGTGCTTAAACATTTCTACTGATGTTTCGTGTCTAGATAGGGCATTATGTAAACGAAGCTTGGTGATGTTACTATCAGATCTGCTGTCTTGAATGTGACGCTAACATGGAGAAAGCTTTGTAATGTAAAATGTACCATGTTGTTATTCTAACATTTGTGGACATGTTCACTGAATTTTAATGACTCAGGGTCTCGCACAGTAACGTACCAGACGACATTTTAATTCGTTCAGGCTCAAAATACTCATATACAATAATAATTAGGGTCTATACATGAATACGCTTACTGGGTGAAGCTTATCATCGGCTCCCCTACACTAGGACGAAATATTTGCGCTAAATCTCTCTACAAATTAAAATTATACTAAACCCCAACTGCCATTATATGCCAATTAGGTAGATGTTCTGGTTTATGGAATAGTTCCATTGTAGGATTTTATAAATGAAAGTATATTCTAACAAAAATTTCGCTTTACCCATTCAGTCTAGAAAAGAACACCACTGGACCATATTCTAAATTATTTTATTCATGTTTTACAGATACACAACCAATTTCTGTAACATCCATGTTAATACCACTCACCCATCTACGTCTATTTCGAAGTCGGAAACTAGTAGGTCCTACATTCCAGGCGGAAATAACACACAATACAACTGTCAACATTTTGATGTAATCCATATTTTCTTCATTTACCAATGCAAATCATATTAAAAAATTGGCAGGTAATGACTACTGATTATGCAATGTACAGTACTCACACTTCACGTCGATGTGGACGGACAGAGGCTCGCTGGAGCCCACAATATTCTGAGCCTCACACGTGTACGTGCCCGTGTCGCGGCGAGCGACCGGTCGGAACTGCAGCGTCTCCTCCAAGCTGACGATGTCACTTCTTCCAGCACGCTTCCACACGATTTTAGCCACAGGATTCGCGTCAGCTACACACATCAGCACCACACTGTCTCGGCCCTCCTCCAAGTCCTGGGTCGGGGCACCTTTCAGACGCACTTCCGGAGGATCTTAAAAAAAAAGAATAGTTTTAGCAGAAAAGTGAGAACGCTCTCTTAATTCTATTCATCGTCCAAGAAGGCATACAAGTAATACGAAATGATGTTTCCACTGGATGGAGCTACCCACATTTTCACGCAATATTCAGAACTGGAGAAAGCTAATTATTAAGTCGTTGAGCTGGACAAAGAACAATGTTATATTTAGGAGACCCTTATTTCGAATCTCTGCATGCAAACTGGCAGACATTCCAGGAAAATGCTAAGAACACAACACAAGTCTAGCTTAATAACAGATTTCAGATAGCAAATATGTCATGGATTAGACAATAAGTGTAATGTAGTCACACACTGCGCAAATTAAAACAGCTGCATATTTCGTTATTCACAACATTAAAAAAGTGTTTAAAATAAAAGCTGTTTACTTTGTCGAGGTCTATAGCTTATCAGAATTTGTTTTTGATAAAATTCGTAAGAGGTGAATTTAAATTTGCCTAAGTTAAAAGATACACCAGACCAATACACACCAAAATTAAACACGCGAACAAACTTTCAACGCAGACTCCACCAAATTTCAACAAAATCCGCCGACTAAATTAATAAATTAAGCACCATAGTGTGCACACATTCAAAATACAGCCAACATTCAAGTGAATTTCATTCGTAGAACACATGACAAATGGAAACACTGACTCACTCGTTCACAGATCGAACATTTTGCCACGTCAGAAAAGGTCAGATTTATAAATGACTCTGTCACGCATTGCCTGTATCATTTACATTATTTTTTGTACCCTTAGTCTCATTCAGATATTTTCTAAAGCTGCAGTGTCGCTAACAGCGTTCCTGTGTTGTCATTTGTCTCCCTGCGTGGTGCATGATGGGCGGACTAATACTGTCACGTAGATGGCATACTACAGAGACGTCTATATGAGATCCTACATCACATACCCACTTTCTTCTAATTTTTTCTAGTATTTTATCTTTTTTTTACTGAAACCTAGTTTGCTGTCCGATTTCACTTCATCACTCAACTGAGCGCAGATAGCCCTGTCATCATTTGTCCGTAAGAGAGAACAGAGTAATGTAAAAAGACCACATCACACCAAAGAGTGAATGGAAGAAGTGCTTTTCTTACACATAAAAACGTGAGGTAGGAAATGCCCCTTCTTATATATAAACTTACATGAAAAGTGTCATTTTTTGTTTCGGAAAGTGAAACGAAATTTGTTCCAGCATCCCAAGATATTACAAATTTTTTTGCGTGCCTATTTTTATTACTCGAAAAAAAATTACATAAAACCTTCTGTCATTGTTCAACACGTGTTGCATGGTTGTGTTAAACATATGGTTCATGGGGGGAAAAAGAGGGAATATATATTGGTCTAGAAATCTTCACAGCTACACCTTAGAAAATTTTAAAGGTAATAATAGTATTGTTTTGCAAAATTAACGAGACTACAATTATAAACATTTCACACTTCATTTGATTATTCTTAGACTATTTAAAGATACTATTTAAACCGTCTCTGATACATGTGTTGACAATCAGCAGCCCGTGCAAAGAAAAGAAAAGAACTTACTTTCCCCCTTTACAATTTAAACAGACAGCCAACCACAGGCCTATTTGCACAACGTTCTTAAAGCCCAATTTCAGATCATGAACTATGACAAAAGCAGAGCGTAGTGACGTTCGAGAAGAGAACGGGTAATAGGAGTCTGGAAAATATACTTGCGCAGGAGAGACCAGATGTGGTTAATCTACGGCCCCGGGGCCATATCCAGTCCGCAGTTTCATTTCACTAATAAATAGACGTGATTCCTATGCATAAACAAATCTAAATGTCGGGTAAACTTGAGGACAGAGTAAATATCTATATATCTGAATTGTCACAACATATTTAAGCAAAAGCTGTTTCAGTATTTCAGAAGGGGACAGACCGAGTTTAGGAAGTTTATCAACAAAAACAACAAAATATTAAAAGCTGATTAAATTCGGAGAATGCTTGCTACCATCAATTCAAAACCTTCGTCTTCCCGTCTCGTATTTAAAAACGAAGAGTAAAATATATAAAAACATTATTTTACCAGTTGATTTATATGGGAGTGAAACTTCGCCTAAGAAAAAACACAAGGCAACAAGGCAATAAAAAACTATCCAATAATTTTCTTTAACAAAGACAATCAATGGAGAGATATTTTACACGTATTTTTCCTGAATAATTTGTTCAATATCCATTTTAATTTTTTGTTGATGTGAGTCAAGTGATTCAAGAGTTCATAAATAAGACGCGTCCCAGTAGCTGATTTGACGTTCTTCATTAAGCTGAACTGTTGCTCACAGCGAAAATTACTGCCAAATACAGACGACATTAACAAGGAGCATTGTCTGATATATGTTAACTCTTTCTCATCATATAGAATACCATAATGTTACTATACGTACTCAAGGCACACTCAACACATCTGAAGGATGCGGGTTCAGAACCCCTGATCTATAAGCTTTCATCAGAGTGACAAGGTTTCGCACCCATAAAACATGCAACATTATAGTTTTAAATATTATAATGTTTAGATTATAAGCACGAAGTGGAAAGAGAAAAATCTTAAAGCCGATGACAGGAAATATTACACGAACTATATTGTTACATGTTTAAACTAAGGCAAATGTGTGTTAATTGGAATGGTATATTAATGTAAATGGGCTTCGAATATATGAAGTCTTGGTTATGGGAAAATATGAAAAATTGAAGGGATCAGAAGAACAACAAGGAAAGAACACGTTTGAGGGACATTTTTAATACAAGATATTCGCCTAAATCTCTGCAAAAAAATGAAAACTAGCATGTACAGAGTTTTAAAATATTAACTGCTTTACATACACAATAAGTAAATTATGCGATAATGTTCTGGAACGTGGACTTATTCTTCGAATGTGTTTAAACGAGCAAAGGAATGCTTCTTCCGTTGTATGAGTTACTAAGACTAGTCTGGCAAGATACAAAGTTCATGAATTAAGAAATCGCGATAAAAATTACTTACAACTTCGCTTGTTTTCTCTTTTCCTAAAGTTTCTGCATATATTAGCCTCTGAAAACTTGAGTCGTACACATAGCTAGGGGGTTACTTTCGGTATACCCAACACTGTAAGTATGCTTTCTTTCGAAACTCAGCCTTTAAAGTACTAAAGACTTCTCAACACATAAAATAATTGAAAGCAAAACAAAGCCCTTCCGTAACGGTTTCAAAGTCCACTGTTACTATGGTTATTTTGCAGACATGTTTCCTTCTTTGAGTCAATATCCTTTATATACTCGAATTTTCTTTTCAGTCTAACAAACCTTAAAACAATAATAGTAGTGGAATTTATTCAAGCATCGACCTTTTTTTCTATGTAAAAGCATTATATATATTTTGTTAACATTTTTAACGGATTCATTTAATTCGAATGAAAATGGAAGATGAAATGAACATCAAATAAACTTTTTAATAATTTGTTTCTTTATAACAGAAACCCGAATATTGTACAAGAAAAATAAGTTCTAGAATCACTTTTTTGGTAGGTTAAACAAGGCACCTTTGAGGAATTAAATGCAGTATTTGTTGCAGACAATACCTCATCTTTATAGTTTAAAAATCCCTTTTTCTCATTCGACTGACTAGACATCTGACAAGACTAAAAATAAAAGATGAGAATGCGGAATAGGGGATTACATTACAAACAGAATATCCCTTTGAACGTCGAGAAGAAAATAAATTATAATTACGAATTAGAAACAATGAAAATGTAGTGGTAGAGACAGACATGAAAAGAATATGTTAGCTGAAATATTAGTTTTCGGAGAATAATTTATCAAAGCATATTTGTATGTTATCTACTATATTTTACATATTTTTCTGCAAGGAAGATGGAATACACTCAGAATATCAGGGTCATGTCTGTACGTTCGTTCTACTTATTTCTGATATTCGAAACTACTCAAGACATGCTGAGGAACTTGAAGTTTGGAGATCTAAACTAAATTTTATCTGTCGAGTTTGATTAGGGTCAATAACTGAGTCGGAGTTTCTCCTCAATTCAGCGTAGGCCTACTCTACATTTAGTTATAAGTACAATTTCGAAAACTCGGTGTTAGGCGGACACACGCATTTGTACAGGGATCTAAGCTTAATAAATGATTTGATGTTGATTTAAAACAAATATTCAATACACTACAGTACTCTGATGGTGGATTCCACGTTGATTAACGCAGATATGTACATCTGATGACGTATCATACTGTTAATAACAGAACAACATGTCGTGAATTTCCCAGTAAGGACAAATTCCACACAAGATTCAAATCTCGAATCACGTGTTCGACCGTAACCACGCTGCTCATAAGCCACAAAGCTTGATTACCCAGCATTCCACACTGATGACTGAAATGAAGGTATGCGAGAGGTGCTTAGTTTTAAATTGCATTTCAATACGAAGAATTCTGGGAAAATAGTAGCCTTCCCCAAACGCATATGAAAATCACGAATTCTCTATTAAATTGTAATTAAATGTAACTTGGATTTTGTTGGAATTACAAGGGAAATGGAAATGGAAGGATAACATTAGAGCAGATTTAGACAAAGACTGTGATTTGTGTGGACTAACTGAACCTCCTCAGACATTCGCGTCTCACGACCGGAGAGAATTTCTTAGTAGAATTTGATGTTTTCAGGGCGGTGAGTCTGCGGACGACTGTCTTCTGTACTTTACCGACGTTTCAGAGATCTTGCTGCCTCAAACATCGCCCTGATGGCGGAGGCAGCAAGGACCTCTGAAACATCAGTAAACTTCAAGGGAGGTTGAGAGAATCAGTCTGTCACTGATGTAGTAAGTGAGTATTAAATGGTTGCAAATTACGCATCTGTCAAATTCGTAAAACATAATATTCTTTTAATTGTGTTACGTAAATTCAGTAACAATCAAATCCATTCCACCTCAAGCAGAATTTACCACTGCTGAAAGCACGAGGGAG